CAGGAATATGGACTTTACCTACAAAAGCTTTAATTGTTAAAAATAGCACTTTCATTTGAGCTAAAATTACAGGTTAGCGATAAACTTTCAAATTTTTTTTACTGACCTAGCGAATTCAATGTTACCAAGTAGTAAAGAGAAGAATTAAGACACTGGCAAATGATCAAGTCTTGACTGTCTAGCATACAATATATTACTATGCAGTAGAAGCCATTAAAAAAAATCAATACTTGTCAGGAACTGCTGCAGAGCCCCACCTTTAAGTACTGCGAACTACTTTGGCAACTCAGATGCTCTTTGTGTAGCTAACTGGCAAATGCTGAGCTCCATGGCAGCTTCTGTACAAGTCGTTTTTCCTTGCAGGATGCAACTTTTCAAACAATATAACATCTCATTAGATCAGGATAGCATCCTAAAATTCCTATCTTGCAGCTTTTAAGGATGTATCGTTAAGAAAAAATGTCGTGTGGGTAGGCTAAATTGGTATTTCTGGTTCTATGCAAATGATTTGGAAACTGTTTTGAACTCAGTGTTCAATGATACAGGAGTTGCAAGTATGTTGTATAACTGTGATATTTCCTAGAGAAAGTCCTGAACCTAGCAAGTAAGAAGTGATTAAGCTGTACCAAATGTGTAGCTGGTTATTAAGTACTTTTGAGAAGCAGTGAAACTGTAGGAACCTGTTGCTGTAGATGCACAAGTCATGAGCAGTGTAGAATGCAATATCACATTAATTCCCATTCTCTATATAAATATTTTATGTTGAACTTAAAAAAAAAGTGGTCTAAATTGGAGTGATAGGACGTCTCATTTTAGACACTGTAAAAATTACAGATCTAAAACCACATTATAGATCAACTCAGTTCACTCCCTGGCTTCGAATTCACCTGTAATGAAGTACTAGCCCAGTTGAAGTTAATGCCAAAGTTTTCATATACTTCAGTGTGGGAGACTTAGGGTTTCACTGGCTGATTCTTCATCACCCTATTATGCCAATTCCAGAGAATATGACGCTTTCATTTGAGACTTAAAGATGTATTTACCAGTGATCTGTGAAGAATACCTGCAGTGATGATCCTCTCCACTGTTCTCTGTTAGATGTAAACTCGTTCCAGCAAACAACAAAATGGATCGATGATGTCAGAACGGAAAGGGGCAGTGATGTCATCATTATGCTGGTGGGAAATAAAACAGATCTAGCAGATAAGAGGTATGAAGGAATAACTCCTCTTTCAAATGCTTTTTTAAAACTGCTGCTGTTTTCTCCTAGACAACTATTTTAAAAAAACACCTTTTCTCTTCCCCCCCCCCCAAAATGCTTAAGCTTGTTTTAACTATGCTGCAGAGGGCTGTGACTAGAGAAATCTCAATTTTAAAACTTCTTTCATGTGGTTAAGCACAAGTTTGTAGCACGATGCTGTGAATGAGCTTGAGAAACTGTCACCCAACTTGTTCAGATGTCAGGAGAGAATGGAGTGTTAACTACAACCTGCATCAGTGAATGAATAAGCTAAAGCCGTTAGAAATTTTCATGCTTAGATAAAAGATTGGTTTTGCTTACATAAATGGTAGGTGTGAGTAATCTTCCCTTTTAAAACTCTTCAGGGTCTTTCCTAAGTTGGCAAACTTAAATATTTTTATTGGAAGTTGTACATCTTGAGCTTTTGCTGCACTGTGTACTCTGCTTGTTCTGGCTTTATGGTATTTCTTAACACAAATAAGTGAAAGGTCATTACGGTAAAACAAAAGCATGAAGGGGAGGCATTCTGGGTTTGATTGAAATCCCTGGTTCCTCAGGATAGCTTCACTTGTGACCCTTGCTTCAGATTTAGAACATCTTATTAAGAATTGTTTATGCACACATGTGCCCCTCAGAATTTTTCTTTGGCAGTTCTTGAACCAAAGCTTCCCCTGGTTTTGGCTGCAGCAGACTCCTTAATGGGTGTTAATAATTGCCCCTAGACAGGGCAAGACAGGACAAAATTCATCTGATACAAGGTGGTTATACTCGGTACTTCGTTAAAATAGTTTGGTAGGCTGCAAGTTGACAATTGTTATTGCATATTAGAGTCGATTGATTGATAATTGTTCAGGCATAAAAGCATAGCTTCCTGGACAGGGCTTTGGAGGAGTCTAGTTGACCCACTTAGCTGTTCCACTGGAAAACTGAGTTCTACTTCGGGAGCCAGGTGTGCTGTCAAAGTCCATCTGGTACAACGAAATGGTGATACTTGTCTACAACTGTGCTCAGCATGTGGCATCTGTATGCAGGAAAAAACACTAAATGCTTTCAGAACTGTGATGTAGCAGCCAGCTCCTCGGGTTGAAGACAAAAATCTTAATTTTAAAGGTGTTTGTCTGTTTGTTTGTTTGTTTTTTTACTAATTTTGTGTTATCTTCCCCAGACAAGTGTCCATTGAGGAAGGAGAAAGAAAAGCCAAAGAGCTGAATGTAATGTTCATTGAAACTAGTGCAAAAGCAGGATACAATGTAAAACAGGTGAGTAATGTGTTGTCTGCAGTCAGCCCTGAGAGTTATTTCTGGTTTAGGGCACTGTTGTGGAAATGGGACTTCCCTATACATTGGGAAGCCTTTGCAAAGGGTGTCAGAGGGACATTTGTAGTCCGTACACAGCAAGCAACATCTCAGGGTCGACTTCTTGACTGAGGTTCAAGAAGGTTTCCTGACCTTGCAGCAAATTACTTGGAGCCTTTCCCTTAGAAAAGAGGAATAACTGAAGAAGCTTTGTGGGTACAGAATCATACCTTCTTGGATTCTTGATAATCCATATTTGGTGTTTAGATTAAAGGGATTATGGCATGAACCAAAAAGTTGGGGAAACGCAGGTCTGAGGACTGTTTCTGATACTGATTCAGTGAAAGAATGTGGGAAAACCAGTCAAGGAGGAATGGGATGGCTTAAAATGTTTCCACTGCACAGTGAGACAATGTAAACTGGTGCTCCCACTCTGTTGGACGGCACTGAAAGTGTGAGCAAAAATGTTCTTGCACAGCCAAAGCTAGCTATTTCTGGTGGATGATGAGTTGCTTTTGAATTGGGGAAAGCAGTGAAATGTCTTTTTAGCTGATGCAACTGGAATGAAATTAAGTTTTACGTTGTGAGATGGGCTGCAGCGCTTTAAATTCTGACCTAGATAAAGTTTTAGCATTTGTGTTAATGAAGATAAATCACTTGGCAAACAGTGAACTGGTGAAAGTAGTAAACACTGCAGAACTGATCTGGTATTTACATGGAAGAAATTGTGTTTGAGCTTATTAGTTATGTAAGCAAATATGCCTACTAGCAGATCATGAATAGAGAGCTAGAGCTGTACATCCCTACTGACTCAGTGCATAATGGGGTACTGCTTTTTCATTGATCTAGCAATTTCTCACACGGAGAAGCGCTGAAGTGTTTGGCAGCTGGTCTTATGGTAGGAGGAAATGCAGTAGTGCAGGATGTAGACGACCTTCATTGTTGGGTGTCTCAACAGAGCAAACGCATGCACATACATGTGTTTGTGTATCAGCATATGTATATTTTATATATGTAGTTACACAAACTGTATGTGGAATTGTATCAGGAGTTGCTAAAACAGGGTTAGAAATCGCTTTGTATGTTATAGACAGGACTAACGGGTCTGTTATTAAAATGTCCCTTGACATTGTATATTAGTAGCAAAATTATTCCCTATATAATCAAATAATTAGAAGTGTTAACTTAGCACCACGTTTCAGTGCATTAGCAAGCATGAAAGGATTCAGTTCCAGGGTCCACCAGTTACCCTGCCACAGCACAGAGGCTGGCTTATAATTAAGGCTTGGACTCTGTGCTGGAATCCTTAACGTTTGCTTAGGCTCAGGGGTGTGTGCTTCAGAGCAGTTGCCTCGCCGAGCGGAATGATGATGAAGCTCTATACTCCCTCTTTCCTTGAGGGAGTTGCTGTGCAGCCTACATGCTTCCAGAAGTCCGTGTCCAAGCCTGTAAGGTAGCTTGTGGCTTTCAGGGCCCGTTAGGAGCCCTGATGATTTGAGATGTAAGTAGGAAAATGTTGTATGGTATGCCTGTAGATCGTTTTGGCATGAGATACTGTCGTTTAATAAAACATGTGCTTTGTAAAGCTACCACAGCCTTCATCATTAAGGATGGTAATGCCATTTAATACATTATGAAGGAACAAACTTTTGTCTTTTTGTGTTTTATGCTGAAGCTGTTCAGGGATTGTACTAATGAGATTGTCAAAGCATAAAGCCATTTCTGTAGCTGTAGCCTCACTTGCACACTCTCTAGAGAAAATTCTGAGTTGTATAACGGAGGTCTAGACAAATTATGCCTCTGATTTTAATTGCCAGGTTGCATGCTCTAAGATTACTTCTGTGAGAAAAACAGTTTGGTAATTCAGGTCCAACAAAAAAAAAGTGGTGGTGAGAATCTGGGGGCTAGTTCCCTCTCTATTAAATGGGAGATTTGGTGTTCTGAGACATAATTCTTGTTCTTCACTAACATCAATAAACAGTAGTATCTAAAAATCTTGGGGCTGTTGCATATCACTGCATCATAATCCAAGCGGGTACTTCATGTAATGTGAAGTCTTGTCAGAACTGGTCAAGGGGACAGATTTTAAGTGACTTCATTCTCTGTGTAAAACAGCAAAACAAAAAGATACGAGTGGTTATTAAAAAAGAACTAAAAAGTGGATTTTTCTTCTGAGTTTTGATCCTCGTGTTGCAGGCGGGGACTGGGATTTTCAGGATCTTCGAAGCTATTCTATACTGCAGAATATTTGAAACTCATTTTTTATTAGTTAAATAAGTAGGTGTTGAAACAATTATCAAAGGATAAGACTTTTAATACCACTAGCTATCTAGTTCTGTTTTCTTTGCAGCTTCTCTATTGAATGGTATGAATTTATTTTACCAAGTTGTCAATAAATTCTTCCCCAAAGAAATGGGAAAGCATATGAGCATCAGTCTCTTCTCCCAAGTAACAAGCAATAGGACGAGAGGAAACAGCCTCAAGAGGCACCAGGAGAGGTTTAGATTGGATATCAGGAAAAATTCCTTCACCGAAAGGGTTGTCAAGCCCTGGAACAGGCTGCCCATGGAAGTAGTGGAGTCACCATCCCTGGAAGGATTTAAAAGCCATGTAGATGTGGCACTTAGGGATGTGGTTTAGTGGTGGACTTGGCAGTGCTGGGTTAACAGCTGGACTCGATGATCTTAAAGATGTTTTCCAACCTAAGTGGTTCTGTGATTCTACAACTGCAGAATGGATACCCTTCCCATAACCTGTATAAAAATCTCTCTTTTTAATAAGCTGAATGCAAATTTGACCTTCCCGTAACTGATGACTTCTATCCATAATATATTCTGATTCTGCAGAGCAATTACTTTCCAAGTTAATTTTCATACAGTATTTTTAATTCACGTGTCAAATTATTTTATATACGAAGTCCATATTTTGACTACATATAATGAAACACATTTATGTAAAAATTAAGATCACTTACTGCCAGATATTAAATATTAAAGTAAAGGTGAATCTTAGACTAGTGACAAGTCATTGGTTTGTCTCACATGGTGCAGGTTCAGATTTAGCAATTACCATGCAGCTTTGATACTGCCTATGACTGAAATGTGTAGATTAGGGAATCTGAATTGCTTTGTTTGTTGTTTGGTTTTTTTAATTTCTTCCAAGAAAAACTCTCGCCTCCCAGGGTTAAAACTTCCTAGGTTGTCAGTGATTCACTTGACAGCCTTGAGCAGTTCAGAAAAGCTGACAAAATGCTCTTGTTTCCCCTGTCCTCTCTTCCCAGCCCAGAATCTGCCTCCTGCATCTAAATCCTGTGCCTTGGGTTAAAGGTAGGGAGTGGCCCAAGTTAATGCAGAAGGAGATCTGGGATGAAGCTGAACCCTCAGTCCTCCATCGTTGGCTTCTTTGCATTTTCATCCCTTTCACATAAAGGTTTTGGCTTCTGCGTGGCGTTGTACGTAGACATCTTGATGTCACCAGTTCCAGAGTGAGCTGTTTTTTACTGATGCCTCATGTACGGCCCACCATAGCTTCCTTGCTTGCTTTCCATCCTCTCTTTCAGGTCAAAGATGTGAATTCCAGTGTCACTTGTGTGCAGGCAAGTCCTGGAGACATGACTTGCAACTCCCCTGCCTTCACTGCCCTAGATCTGACTGCCCGGCAGGGTCAGCAGGAGCCCCGGCAGCTCGGGGCGTGCCACGGGGCACTAGCCAGTACGCTAACCTCATTCCAGTCTAGGCCAGACGTTGAAGAATAATGTCATCTCACAGGTGGTGAATCTCAGTGCAATTTGTATTGGCCCAAGCACTAGGGTTCTCCAAGGGATGCTGTCCACAAGGTATCAGAAGCAGTATTTGCCCCATTAAGCATACGGAAGAAGCTTAATTTCTTGTCCTGCTTGGGGAGAGTAATGGCTAAGACTTTTTCACCTCCTCGGTCGTGTCACTTGTTTGCTAGCCATCAGTGGGAAGCCAGGGTACTTTTGACCTTGTGTGCTACTTTTAGCTTCTTGTTCATCCTTTTCTGCTGGAAGGCAGCACTGATAAGAGGAGAGGCACTGTCTTCAACTCTGTGCTCACTGTAGCTATCCTACAAATCCAGGGTGCCTGGCTTTATAGTGTGACTCCGGAAGGTGAGTTGCACTGTACTTCAACCAGCATGTATTCAATGCCACAATCTTCCACCAACAAAGAAATGGAGGAGAACGTACTGCTGACAGGCTTTTTTTGCCATTCCTCTGTGGCATGAAAGGGGACAGCTCAGAAGATGGCACGTCGGCTAACACAGTATGGGGGCCAACGTGGAAGCGAGTAGCCTGGCACTTGGTTTAGTGGCTCTGTGGTGGATCTCCATATAGTCACGGCAGAGAAGTACAGAGGATTTACAGCCTCTGTACGTGCTGCCTGGAACCTGGACACGGCAGCTTTCATTTTATCATTTCTCTGGCATTTCTTTTCTCCAGAGGACTGATCCAATAAGCTACTGGAACAAGCTCTATCTCTTCTAGTCGCACACTGTCAAACTAGATTGTAATGTAGAGCTGTGGTATACTGTTGGATCTGTTCAGGTAGAGCTGTCTCCAGTCACCAGTGTCCTAGACACTTACTGTTCCTTCTGGCTTTGGGGAGGGGGTGTTGAAGGAAAAGTGAGTGGATGATATTACAGACTAAAAATGGTGATAGTATTGTTCTGGGGTTAAATTGATGCAATAGAAGGGAAGAAATTGACTTTTGGATCCTGCAAGTTTCAGCAAAGATTGATTGCCAGGGGAGCCTTAAGACTGAGGAGAGTAGTAGGTAACTTGCTTCAGATAATGCAGAGAATTGTAGTCTCTAACTCATTTTATTTGTCAGCCCTGAATAAGCTTTAAAAGACTTTGAGATTCATGCTTTATCTCGGCAGTCTGTATTTCAGGGAATCTTACTGTTAGTCTGTGGATTTCATGCCCAGAATATGTCAGGGTTCATTTTTCTGTCTTGTAGAAAGAGAAGGGAGGGAGACCCCTGAAGACCTTACAGCGGTACCTGGCACACTTCACATTTGCTCTCAAAGAGCCACAGGCTGAATGTGGTATTTGGCAGAAAAACTTTCTCACGGCAGCAGCTAAAGGACTGTGGCCCCTTGAGTAACGCCGTTTTCACAGAGCTGGCTGCATCTAGCATCTTGGCTCTTTCTCCTGTCTTTTGATTTTTGTCTATCTGATGGGCAAGAATTACTCTTTGAGTTGCACGGCTCTCCTTGGAGAATGAGAATTAGGGAAACATTTTTGTTTGCTTTGCGTTGGGCAACAGGTTTCTTGCCTGGCTTTTCCATCTGGACAGTGATCCCTCCTGTCCTTTCCGTATTGCTGCAGGAGTGTTACAGCGAAAATTTTGATGCCTACAGTCGTTTGTGATATGGATCTGTTGGGGATTTATTAGCTGGAGTAACAGGAAAGGCACAGTTTAGCAAATGAGTTGAAACTAATGGCGAGAGAAGAGGGAGTTTTGGTTTTTGGGGTTTTTTCCAGAGTTTAATCAGGAAGGCGATTGCAGGGTTGAATACTGAAAGAGACTTCATGTGGCTCAGTCTTTCAGATGGTTGTGTTTAACTCCTGCCTTGGAAAAAAAACCGCTGAATGCTCACCAGTATCTGTGTTTTTACACACACATGCACAAATATTTAGATGTGTATGTGTGTGTATATATGTGCTATATTATATATGCATATATATATGTATGGGCAACTGCCTGTGACATTTTTCAGTGAGCCAAGAGTGCTGGTTTGGCTCCTGAAGGCACTGCAGAGCAGTAAGGTCCCTGTGTAGAAGGCTGCTTTCTAACCGTCGCTGAGTTTCCCTAATTGGATTTGTTTGCATATGCTGTGGCTGATAAGCGGAAGGTTAATGAGAAAGTAAGTTGGTTTTCTTAGTTGCCAAATACCGCTAAAGGCATAATTTTATTCCTGGTCTTAATGTAAAGAAAGGATTACTGTATTTTAAACACCTAGACTTTCTGTCAGCAGCTTGATTTAAATACAGTAATTCCAGTTGGTTTCCATCAGCTGAGGTTTTTTAAGACTCTCCATCCCTCCCCTCTATAAACTGCATCCCTCACTTTCTACGTGTTTTACAAGGGGGAAATAAAGAGCCATACTACGGTTTAAAACAATTTTTTTTTTTTTTTTTGGTAATGCTGTTTTCACCTAGGATCTCAAAACACACGAGATCAGCAAAGAGCTCTGACATGATGTATTGCCTTCTTTCTGTCAGAGCAAAGATGTCAAGCGATCATCCTGATGTACGATTGCGTATCTGTTGCATATTCTTTGTTGCATATCCACCCTTAAAACTCATGGGAGGGATTTTTTTTTTTCCCCCTCGAACCTTCTGCATCAAGAACTGGGTCAAAATTGCTCTAATATTCTTCTGCAGAATATGAGAAAAAAAAAAGCAGTGTAGTGGAAGGGCAGGTAAGCTAATTTACTTCATTCTCT